CCGACAAAAAAAAAAAAAAACTAGCAAAAAGACTGGGAAAGTGGCTCAAGTGGTACAGTGCCTGCCTAGCAGGCCTGAGGCCCCCCCCCATACACAAATAATAAGAAAACCCACCATGCAAACGTTACACCAGGAAAGCCCTGAACTCACAGAGACCCAGATCTGCCTCGAATGCCACATCTACTTACCAACTGTGAAATCTCAGAAACGTTATATAAATTCACAACAGGGGTCCAGAGCATTCCTAACAGCTGGTCTGATTCTAGAAGGTCCTATCCTTTTCCTGTCTCCGAGGTATTTGACAACTCTCCTTGTGGTAGAAGGCTGGTAATAGCATAGTTGGTTCTTGTCCACAGAGATTCGAAGGAATTCAGTGTGAAGAAAATGTAATTATCATTTTTTCTTTCTTTTTTTCTTTTTCCAGTCCTAGGGCTTGAACTCTGGTCCTGGGCACTGTCTCTGGGCTGCTTTTGCTCAAGGCTAGCTCTCTACCACTTGAGCCACAGCGCTACTTCTGGTTTTTTCTGTGTATGTGATACTCAGGAATTGAACCCAGGGCTTCATGAATGCTAGGCAAGCGCTCTAATAGTAAGCCACATTCCCGGCCCTAAATAAAATCTTTAATGCACTCATTTTACATTTGTCTGAGAGTCATGCTCTTAGCCTTTATTTATTTATTTTTGTCAGTTGTGGAGCTTGAACTCAGGGCCTGGGGCACACTGTCTCTGAACTCTTTTGCTCAAGATTAGCACTCTACCACTTTGACCAGAGCTCCACTTCTGGTTTTCTAGTGGTTCATTGGAGATATGGGTCTCACAGGCTTTTCTGCCTGGGCTGGCTTTGAACTGCAATCCTCAGATCTCAGCCCCCTGAGTAGCTAGGGTGACAGGCGTGAGCCACTGGTGCCTGGCTGACCTTAGCCTATAGAAAATCATGCTGTGACATTGTCTGGGCTGTGGCATGGCTCTGCACTTCCTGAGGAGCTCGTGCATGACTCGGAAGAGCCTGCCAGGCAGATTTCCTTCCCCACGCTCATCTGCCCGACCCTCAGCCTGCTTTCCCACGCGAACCCCGCTCAACAGATATTTCAGTTCTTCGTTCCAGCTCTCCCCCAGGAGGTGGACTCTCCACTCCCTGAAGACCCTAAACAGAATAACCACATAGCCGAGATAGAGGTGGAGAGGAGGACAGATACATGGGGGAGGGAGAGGGCGGGCCGGAGGGAGAAGGAGCTGGAAAGAGAGAGAAGAAGGGAAAGAGGAAAGAAGGGAGGAAAGGAAAGGGAAAGGAAAGGAAAGGAAAGGAGGAAGGGAAAATGGGAGGATGAAGGAAGGGGTGGTATCAACCAAGAAGCATTGTACTCATAACCTGACTTATGGAATTATAACCCCTTTGAATAACTACATAATAACAACTAAAAATTTTTGGAAGGGAAGAGGGAAGGAAGGAAGGAAGGAAGGAAGGAAGGAAGGAAGGAAGGAAGGAAGGAAGGAAAGGAAGGGAAGGAAGGAAAGAAGGAAGGAAGGAAACTTCCCCCAGCCTGAATGCCTGGTTCCAGTAAGCTGGATCACTCCACTCAAGCAGGGTGCAGTGCCCGCTCCAGGCAGCAGGGGGCAACAGCCCCTCCCTGGCTCTCGTGGGTGGCAGGCAATGTCCCCAGCAACCCCAGAGCACAGGGTTGACAAGGCCTATTTAGGCAGCACTGTCGGGGAAGAGACCCCCAAAGCTAATTCCATGCTGTGTGGGGATGGGGTGGGTGGGACCGGGTGGGGTGAAGTGGGGTGGGGATGTCCAGAAACCCCAAGAATGCAGCTGGTAGGCACTGAGAGGTGCGAGCGGCCTGGCCTCTGGAGTAGACCACCGCCCGGGGGGTGCAGCCCGGGGCCAGGCCATGGTGGGGAGGTTGGGCAGAGGACAGGAAGTGGCCTGTGGGGGCTAAGGTTGGGCCCTGCCCAAGGTCACCCCTTCCCAGTGTCCTGTGCCCAATAAGAAGCAGGAGGGCTCAGAGCCGTCCTGGGGTGATCCGACAGGAGGTGCCTGCGGCTGGACCCCAACTTCTCAGGTCTGGAGAGCAACAGAGGCTTTCTCCTCAGCCACTACTCAGCATGGCTTTGGTGGTGGCACCATATGCTGTTGGAGCCAGAGAGAAAGTCACGGCCACCGCCATCCACACACCTGCCGGAGTACGCCGGGGCTACAGCTTGACCTCACAGAGCACTCTCTTCTCTTAATTCCAAAGTGTGGTCTACCCACTCAGAGACATCAGCCAACAGAATCAGACAGGAGGACCTGGGGTGGGCTCAGTGCGACAGGTCGTGCAGGAACCTAGCTTCATCCCAGCAACACAGTATCCACTCAACCAATTCCTTAATCGGAGGGACAAGAATCGGAGAACACTGAAACTGTCTTTCTGCACAGATGATATGGTCATGTATGCTAGACTATGTTATATATCACAAATGCCATGCGTGAGCAAGATATTAGGTTAACATCTAGAAATCAGTAGACTTCATTTACACAAACAGTTATCAGCTAGATGATATAATACATAGAAAACCCATCAACAAAGAAGATAAAGTATAGGGTCATAAACTTGGCAAGAAAATGTCCCAAATCCATATTAAGAAAGCATTAAAGTACCTCTGAAAGACTGTGATGATGCGGCTCAAGTGATAAAGTGCTAGCCTTGAGTCCAGAGAGGCTCAGGGACAGTACTTAGGCCCTGAGTTCAAGCTGGAGGACTCGGGGGCGGGAGGGGGGAGGGTACAGGAGGGGGGGAACCAGGAACCAGTGGCAGTAGCTCACGCCTGTAATCCTAGCTACTCAGGAGGCTGAGATCTGAGGATCAGGGTTCAAAGCCAGCCCAGGCAGGAAAGTCCATGAGACTCTTATATCTAATAAACCACCAGAAAACCAGAAGTGGCACTGAGCGCTCACCTTGAGCTGAGGAGCTGAGGGACAGTGCCCAGGCCCAAAGTTCAAGCCCCACGACCGACAAAAAAAGAAAAGAAAAGAAAGAAAGAATGGACACATCAAATATATCAGAAGCAGATCTGAAGAAAGGTGAAAATAAAGAATAAAACAGGAATCCATATTAATACAAATAAACATGAAAGGGAAAACTATGAGATGGTAATAAATAATTATGGATACAACTTTAAAAATTGGAAAATTACTACTTGACAATGATCAAACTTACAGACTCAAGCAAGAAGTAGGTAAACGTTCGGTAGAAAATAAAACAGAGATACAATCTCAATCCCTACAAAATACTAATTATTTTGTGCCCATACTGGAGTTTGAACTCAGGGCCTTGCTCTTGCTTGGCATTTTCACTCAAGAATGATACTCTGCTACTTAAGAGGCATAGCTCTACTTCTGGCTTTTTTCTGGTTAATTGGAAAAAGAGTCTCACAGACTTTTCTGTCCACGCTGGCTTTGAACCCCAATCAATAGATATCAGTCTCTTGAGAAGCTAAGATTACAGGTGTGAGCCACAGGCACTGCACCTACTGTGAACTTCTAAGAACAGGTGAACCTCCAAGGAGGGCCTCAATTTCAAAATGGAGCTTGGTAGCCATTTGGTGAGTGTGTGTGTGTGTGTGTGTGTAAAATACACACATACTTTGTGTTCCTGAAAGAACTGCCAAGTGAATTTTTGGGGCCTGTACTGTGCATGTTCCTGTTTCAACAGCTTCTGGAAAGTCCCATTTTTATCACTGGGACGGGACCGGGAACTGTGATTTACAATCGACCAATCAGGACCGGGTACTTCCCAAACTGACACTCCTTCATTTACATAGCTGACCCTGCGGAGACCTGGGCCTGCCTGCACTCTCTGCGTGAACCAGCCCTTCTTGTTTTCTCATTTTCCTTGGATTACTGCGCAGTCTTTGGAAGTTCACAATCAAGCTGCTGGCATGGAGCCAGGGCCTTCTTGCCTTGCCAGCCCACGGTGTCATCACTTACAGGAACTGCAAAAAGTTCATTTCTGAACTGGGTGTGGTGGCTCATACCTGTAATTCTAGCTTACTTGGGAGGCAGAGATCAGGAGGATTGAGGCTCAAGGCTAGCCTGATCATAAAACGTCAAGAGATCGCTTTCTAACCAAGAAAAACTGGGTGAAGCTGCAGGTTCCTGACATCCCAGCTATGAAGGAAATATAAAATAAGTGGGCTGCAGTCCTTGGGTATGAACGTGAGGCACCATATCAAAAAATAACTAAGGAAAAACATAACAAAACAAACAAAGAGTTGTTTCCTCCAAGAAGCCCTGTCCTGAGCCCTCACCCCAAACTCTTTCCAATATTTCTATGCCCTGTTAAAGACAGATAAAACAGACCAGAGGATCAACTCAAGGGGGTGAGGGGCAAAGGAAGTTACTTGCGATATACTGAAACCACTCATACGTCTCTCAAACGCTCAGATGTTAAGCTGAGAATTCGTCTACCTAAATAAAAAGTCTACCCTCAGAAGAAAGTCCCTAGATGCCCAGAGACCCATGGCCAGCACTCCAAAGGACCTTGAATATCTCCTCAAAAGACAAGATCCTGGCTGGTAAGGTGGCTTAGTGGTAACGTGCTTGCCTAGAATGTATGAAGCCCTGGGTTCGATTCCTCAGTACCACATAACCAGAAAAAGGAGGAAAAAAAGCCGGAAGTGGTGCTGTGGCTCATGTGGTAGAGCGCTAGCCTTGAGCAAATAAAGTTCAGGGGCAGTGCCTAGGCCTGAGTTCAAGCTCCAGGACTGGCAAAAACAAACAAACAAACAAAAAACAAGATTGTGGTGAGACATCTCAAACTGTAGTTACACTCATCTAAAATTACATTGCCTGTACTCTTGACTGTCTCTTCCTACCCCAAACCCCATTTCACTCCCTGCGCTGTGCAGATGGGGCCCTCACAGCCTAACAGCGCCAGCCTCAGGCCGGTGGCTGGGTATGTGAAGAGCGCCCTCTCTCGGCCACTGGTGGCCTGGCTTGGAAAACTTGGCCAGCCTCCCTCACTTTTTAGGGCAGAGATTTTGTAACTGACTTGAGAACCTAGATGCAGGCATGTTCCCACTGCCTCACGGGAAGTGTCTCCTCCCTCTTCTGACCACACACTAAAAAAAAACAGTCCCTGGGTGAAGGAAAGGGTGCGTTGGCAAGATGAAGGCCGGATATAAAGGTGTGATGTGTACTTAAAGATCTCGGGGCGTCTCCCCTCTGCCCCCGTGGCTGCTCCGATGGCCCTGTTTGACCTACAGACAAAGGAAAGATGAAAGCCAACCACTCATCCTCACTGAAGGAGAAAAGTACACCTTCCAAGCCCAAGGATTTAGACCTGTCGTTACACGAAATTGTTTGCAAATTGGCTGAAGCTAAACATAGCGTTGTCTGACGCCCCTCCACCCCCACACAGCTGGGAGTCAGTACTGCACGGGACTCCGCAGGCCTTGTGGGGGGCCTCCAGGTGCACACCTGCGTCACCAGCACCCCCGGGAAATGGGGAATGCTCGCCAAGATCTCCTCCCTGGCACAGCTGACAAGCAGGAAGCTACCTGCCCCAGCACGTCCAGGCTTCAGAAGAGCAGGGGCAGAGGAAAGATGAACTACCAGCCAAACCCACACCATGGGTGGGGACTCCTCTCTCCCACAGACGCATGGTGGATATCCAACACTGCTTGTGGTTTGGGGGTGTCAGGAGACTGCAATGAGAGAGAGCTAAAAAAGAACAATTCAGAAGAGCCATGCCAAGCAGTATAAGGTGGACAAGAAAGACCAGCCAAGCCCACACCTATTACTCCGGCTAGTCAGAAGGCGGAGATCAGAGGATGGGGCGTTCGGAAACAGCCCAGGCTATGAGACTCTTATCTCCAATTAACCAGCAAAAGGTTAGAGTGCTATCTAGGAACAACCACAACAACAACAACAACAAAAAAAAAAAGCTCAGAGACAGTGCCCAGGTCCTGAGTTCAAGCCCCAGGACTGGCCAGTGAGTGAGTGAGCCTAGAAGAAGAGAACAAGAAGGTGAGAGAGGGAAGGGGGAAAGAGATAGAGACTAAATAGATAAGAGAGAAGAGAGAAATAGGTGGGAGGGAGGGAGAGAGAGAGAGGAAAGACTAAACAGACAACCACAGCAGAATCACTAATTACGGGACTTGGCTACAAAGACACCTACACAGCTCAAATGTCAGAGGCTTCTTAGAACATTGATCCACCCTTAGTAGGGAAATTGTGAAAGCTTTTCTGTCACCTCAGCTTATTCATAACAAGCCTACTCACCCTCCGATATGCTTGACAAACTTACCAATATCAGAGTGACCTCCTCTTGGTCTATTTAACTTCCAGATAGATTTTCCCAGAGGGTCCCAGGATCCATACACACACATTGAAGTCATCTTTATGTCACTGTGTTATTATAGACACATAATCCAAACTTGCATGTGAGTCCGAGAAATCTGTCTGCTGAGTGAGCACGTGTTCTCGGTCATGCGCGAAGGCTGGGTTGTCATAAGGCTGCAGAAATAATCACTGCTTTTTGGTCAATTGTGAAGTATCACCAGACCTCTGACAATAGCTGTTTTGTTTTCTCCCGGAGTTAAATTGCTTAATTTGTATGGATGTGAGCAATTATAGAGGTAAAATGTTTGTCTTCAGGGAAGTCACTGGCAAGAGTAAAATGAACTCTGGCAAAGTACAGGTTTCCAATCACTTTGGGCTAACCCAGCAAAACCAAAGCATTTGAAGGGGGTCTGTTTTTGTTTATTTTTAAAAGTTTTAAAAAATAGATCCAGGGCTGGGAAGGTGGCTCAGTGGTAGTGCTTGCCTTGCATGCATGAGGCCCTGAGCTCGATTCCTCAGCACCACATAAGCAAAAAGAAAAAAGCCGGAAGTGGCGCTGTGGCTCAAGTGGTAGAGTGCTAGCCTTGAGCTGAAGAGCTGAGGGACA